GTAATTGTGATGCTAAAACAGTACAATATTTTTCTCTTTGAAATTAAATATATTAGGGAGTACATTGAATTAGTGGGACAACACAAATTCAATTTATCTTTCACTTTGTTTCTTTCTCGAGTTGTCTTTGCAGATCTTGCCAAAATTATTCACTTACAGACATTCTTTGAAGCCACTCACTGCCTTAAATTCATAGTTTTAATTGCTTTGTATTTATTAGAGATGGAACAAGAATGAAGAGAAAGCAACTTCAAAAGGAAAATTGGACTATTAGTTAATGGGAACGCTATTCTCTTTAGAGATTTTAAATTCGGATAGTTGTGTCTGTAAAGTGTACAACCATTGTTAATGATTAAGAAAGATTATGAACAGATTGTCCATTTAATATGTGAACCTGTGGTGTCCAACATTTCGCATGGCTCTTGGACCGACATTAGTCCTACATGATTTCACACTTTGGGGTTCAAAATAGTTTAAATTCAACCAGATTTACAATGGTAGAAAGGTCTCCAAATAAATTTTTATCTATTCCATTTTTCAAAATTCATTGTACAAGCGATTATTAGAGTATGAATTTATAAACTGTGATTAATAAATATAAACATTTTGAGAATGAATTTCTCAAATTTATATCGTTTAACTATGTAGTTTTTCAAGTGTTTAAATATAATCCGTTAAATATATATATATTGAATAATTGAAAATAAAGTTAACAAATACATGTTGTTGTTGTCGCTCACTAATGTTTATATTTATGCAATTACGTGACTTTAACATGTACCGTGCGTATTTATTCTTTTTAGATTAAATTCATATAAATTTTTCATATTTTTATCCTTTTTTCTGTTCTTTTATTTTAGCTCAACGTTCAAACTACCGTCACGTAAGTAGAAAACGCTTCATATAAAAAAGTTTTTAAAAATATATTTTACGCAATATATTTTTATCTTGCGCAATTATAAATATCAATCCAAATTATAGTATGAGATAGATATTATTTTGCATATTAATTTTTATTTTAATCATTTTTGATTAAAAAAATCAATTTCTAAACCTCAATAATACAAGTGAGTTTGAATTTGCATTTCACAGTAAACCTTAGAATTTTACATAATAAAAACGCTGGAAAAGTATGGCTGAATGCATGTTTTCAATATCCCATAGCAAGAAAGTGAGGTGCTTTAATCATACCCTCTCAGCATCATAATTATATCTTGAAAACAGGGGATGGCTAACACATTCATCACCCCATATGCTGCCATGCTGTTTTCATTTATTTTTGGGAACACAAATCATAAGTGATACCATTTCAAATTTTAATACAGTCTATATCGTATTTAATATATATAGTAAAATATATAAATATTTTGTTCTTTTAAAATTTTATTGAATGATTAAATGTTGCACTTTTTAGAAGATTTAAATTGGAACAGTTGTAAGTAAAGATGGTAAAAAGTAAAGTTAGGTAAGACTTTTTGTCAACCTACATCCTAGTCTAACATAACCCGAAGAGCATAATTCCGCTACTCGAAATTGATTCAACCCGATTTTTTTTAAATATAAATCTAATCTTATAAATACCTAATTAAAAAATCTTATATAGAGAAAAAGAATTGAAAAATTACTAATAAATTTATATGAAAAAATTACACTATTTTTCTAGATCTGGTCGAAAATTTTTCATCTTTCATACAAACTCGATTTTATCTCACCATATAAAATTCAATCCTAATCCGATCCAAACCTAAAATTCTAAAAACCGACCTTATCAAATTAGATTAAGTAAAAATATGTTGATTTCGAATTAAATTATTATTTTTTTTGTAAGAAGTATGTATTATTAATCGATTAAAAAAAGTTTAAAACAGATTAAGAAAATTTGAAAAATGATATATGATTATAGAGCATAGACTGTTTGCTCGGATTTTTAAGCAAGGCAGAAGCACATCACGGATAAGGGGGCAAAAGTGGTCAGATACGTTACAGGAAGTGTTTAATTTTCAAACTAACGTGCTCATCCAATTAATTTCTCAAATGGGATGTTTTCTACAATAGATTTGGGATCTCTCGGCATCTTCAGGGTTAAACCAGATTTTTTTGGCGTATTGCTTGGGATCTCCCGGCGTCTTGTTTGGAATCTCCCAACGTTTTGAGGGTGTTTGATTGTTTATGGGAATCTCCCGGCGTCTTTAAGTTATCAAGTAAAAAATTTGGCCTTTTTACACAAATATCACATTAATATAAATTAATTACTTGTTAGACACTGTTTAAGAATATTTTACGAATCTAGCAAAATTTTACGAATCTAGCAAAAATTTACTCAGTATATAATTCACTTAAAATATCAGTGACACACCACTTAATGATGTTTTTATTATAGCCAATTCTCTCTTCTTTTCACAATAATATTTTAACACCAAAAAGTATCGGTCAAAAATATATTGAAACTTTAGTATATTGTATGAAAAAATATATAAGTTTTTAGTTTTGTACAACTTAATATTAAATTTCAATTTAATTTAATATTTATAAATCATTAAATCGTTATTGTCGTGCTATTATTTTATGGGTGTTTAGGAAAAAGGAAAAAATATCTCAAAATTATATACAAGTTAAATTAAAATTAAATAAAAAATAGTTAACATATATTTACATATAATATATCGAGAAGTGTATTTTACACATTTAATGAAAAGGAAAGCGTCTTTTATCATGAATCTCGTACGTTGTAAGATTGAAGTTTATAAGTCCATCCTAAAATATGTGTATGTCCTGTGTTATATTTTAAAATAATATTTTTTAAAATATTTTTTAATTAAATAAATTTATAAAATATCAAAACTTTTCATATTATTTAAAATGATATTCTTAAAATTTTGTTAGATTCATAAAATATTCTTAAACAGTGCCTAACAAATAATTAATTTATGTTAAGGTGATATTTGTGTAAAAATGTCAATTTTTTTCCTTGATAACTTAAAGACGCTAGAGATCCCGTAAACAATACAACACCCTCAAGATGTCGAGAGATTCTAAACAAGACGTGGAAGATCCCAAGCAAGACGTCAAAAAAATCTTGTTACACCATGAAGACGCCGAGAGATCTCAAATTTACTATAAAAAACATCTCATTTAAAAAATTAATCAAATGAACACGTTAATTTGATAATTAAACACTCCTTATAACGTTATCTAAGCATTTTTGCCAGGATAAGGGGGTGGGGTTGTCCACCCGAAGGAAATCTCACACGCATGCATTCTCCTATTATTATCTCTCTTCTCTTTCCTTTTGGACACCCAAAATAATACACCGCCCTGCCAGCTTGCCTGCAATTACAAGTCCCAAACCCTTGACCCTTCAAACTCCCCCACATTCTTGCACGTGTACCTCAACCACAATTTTGATTATTTCTTAAATTTCAGTTTCAATTACTTTTATACTAATTTACATCAATTTTAAATGGGAATTGACCAAAGGGTATATAATCAGTTAGTTGGGACATGAGAGAAGGCCTGCTCCTGCCTCCTATTATTATTATATCCGTAGGGTCGTGTGGAAATTGTATATAAAAAGACTGCTTCTTACTTATTAACCCTTCCTCCTTTCCTTCTTCCTTATCTTCCTCAACCTTCCAATCTTCTTCAACAGAGATGGGGAATTGCCAAGCCGTGGACGCGGCGGCGCTTGTGATACAGCATCCGTCCGGGAGGCTAGAGAGGTTATATTGGCAGATCCCTGCAAGTGAAGTCATGAGAATGAATCCGGGTCATTATGTTTCTCTCATCATTCCCTTGCCTGCGTCTGAGGACGAGCAAGGGAATCGAGATCGGAATACGGTGCGTTTCACTCGTGTTAAACTTCTCCAGCCCACCGAAACTCTCACCCTCGGCCATGCTTATCGACTTATCACTTCTCAAGGTTCCATGCTCTTCACTTTCTTCCTCGGAAGACTGGAGGGTTTTTCGACCTTATTGTTGCTTTCCATCATCTTCTTTGAATTGGTTTTGTAACTTACTGCTGTTTCCTGTGCCTGCAGAGGTCATGAAGGTCATGAGAGCAAAGAAGTATGCGAAAACGAAAAGGGAATCGATGAAAAAGTTGCTGCAGCATGAACAAGAGAACCTAAGTTCAGGAAGAAAGTCCGACGCAGACAACACCGACCAAGTATGTATCCTTTGTTTTTCCGATAAGTCTCGAGTCAAGACTTCGAGTAAGCTCAAGTATCTGGTTTGGAAAACGAGCTGCAATGTGCAATTTCATGAACATTTTTCCAGAATATATATAAAAACTTTTCAGCATAGCATGTTAAATGAGTCACTGTATCTTTCACATATGTTCTTCCCAGTTAAGCAATCTGTGAATATGGCTTCTCAGACACCAGTATTACCCTCTATGGAACTATAAGCATGATAATCATATGAAAAAGATATCATGAAATTGTTCTAATAAAGTTTTCATCTGCTATTTGATTAGAATACTAACTATAAACAGTAAAAAGGTTGGAAACAGTTATGTTTTGTTCTCATTCACTCCCAAACACTAAAGGTGCTTGTCTTAAACTTTGCAGGAACTAAAGCAAGAAAGACAAAGCTCAAGGACACCACCTGCGAACGCCGCTGCAATGAGGTCGAAATCATGGCGGCCGTCATTACAGAGCATCTCAGAGGCTGGAAGTTAATATTGATTTGTTTTCAGGTTTCATTTGTAAGGTGTAGATTAGGTTTTGAGAATGACAATGAACTGCCTCTTTTGTTTAATGGAGACCCCAAAATAGGGAAAATGGAAATTCATCAATTGAATGAAGGTGACAACCGAGATTTTCTAATTGCAATCGAAGCTCCCAAATTGAAATAAGTTTCAAGAAATAAAGAAAACATGTATAGCTTCTGAGTTCAGAAGATCCTCGGATCCTACACTGTAATATTCTGAAATAAAATTAGAATTTCCAGTCTTTCACTCGCTGCTTCTTACAAATTCCAAACTTGATCAGTAACTAAAATTACAATGTGAAGATAATGTGACAAAAATTGTTACGAATTATGTGAAGGAAATCATCTGGGAGAGTTTGAGTGCCAAACCTCCCAATCATGATCGACATGATTTTGGGCCCATAACAACGACGCCCGAGCAGCAAGAGGTGCCCCGGTAATTGCTTCTCCTTCAAAGCTACAAACATATCCGTGAAAGGCTCCACCAGCAGTGTTCCAGGTCCTCCATACTCGTTGTGCAAGAAATTGTTAAATACCTGTTTTCAACGATAGAAAATATTAAGCTTTACAAAATTCTAAAAGTTTCATATCAGAACTGGAATCTTCTGCAAGTAAAGCCCAAATTCAGAGAAATGCCTACACTGGGCCAAACATTCACACAAGGAAGAACATGACTAGCTGTCAGGAAAAGAGTGATTTGTTATTTTCTTGCCAGATATTTCTTTTGCGGTTAATAATTGAACAGTTTCCAGCTCATAAAAAACTAGGCCACTTAATAAAAGATAACAAATGTTTGAGTTAGAAGCAATCGTTGCAGATAAAGGCTTTCATCAATAAGAAATAGGCAGTTAAAATTAAGTTGTCTGGATTGTAAGATTTGAACAACCATTCTCAACCTGTTGTACTCTACAATGATTATAGGGATTAACATGTTAAGCTTAACTAGTGATCATTATCACCATTGACCACATGCTCCTTCTCCTCTGTATATCCCAACATGTACATTTGAACGGAATAAACCTATTTGAATGTCATGACAAGGAAGCCAGAAGTGATGAAGTTATTGTGAGTGATACCACTGATGTTCATATTTCAATTACAGAGGTGGTAGTGTATTTCACGGTAAAGAGCACTTCGGACCAATAATAAAAAGTAATCAGTGATATGATTATATCAGAACTGCCTACTTCACACACATTTGTATGACTCCATATTCCAGAAAATCATTCCCACTTTCTCAACCCCTTACCCTACAATAAAAAAAGAACCATAAAAAGAAAACCATCAGTTTAGCTGTTTGTCCTGCCTGAGCTTTGCAGACTAAGTTCCATTTCTAATTAAATTTTCTCCAGCTCTGCCAAGTATGTAGTTAATAACAATGACATAATCAACTCAAACCATGTTTTAAAATAAGTCAGAAACAGACTGGTTCATATGTACTGCTAACTCTAGGACCACATGTTGCATCAGCACTTACCAAAAGAATAAAAACATCTTTCAAGCATGATGAAGCCACTTGCATTGAAGTCCTTTAATATACACCTCTGAAGATTTTAATTAAAATTAATGCATCATATTTGTTTAATATAAAACGTGAGACATGAATATTGCAATTTAAATATACAAAGGAGTAAGACTATTATCATCAATATAAAAAAAGGTGATGAATGGTGCTCATATTTACGGCAGCAAAATTAAAGTCTCTTTGGCTAAATATAAATCTCGACAATCTTATTGGAAAGTCCTCGACAGTTGTTCAACGTAAGTCTGGGATGGAAGATGTTTCGAGAAATATACACTGTGAAGTTGAGAGTGTTGTGGACGAAGATAAACTTCACGTGTTGAGTAACTGTCCTATGGGGTGGTGCAAGAACTTTATCAAAATCGGTAATCTTGCTAACCAAATGCAAGACAAATGACTCGCTGGTTTCACGTTAATGAGAGCTGCTGGAAATGTAGTTCTAATGGTTTGTGAAGACTCTGATTCGTTGAGAAGCGTGAAGAATGATAAATTAGAGACTCTTGCAAAATGGTTTTCAAGAGTTGAAGCTTGGTCAGAGAGTTTGGTGGTGGAGTGTCGTCGCGTGTGGCTAGTTTGCGAAGGTATTCCTTTTCACGCTTGGAATTGGGATACTTTCAAAAACATTGCAGCTAAGTGGGGCAAATTATTAGCAATTGACAACAGCTGTGAGTTTCCATCGTCTTTTGATCGGGCAAAAATTCAAATACTCACAAAGGCTCAAGTAAGAATTGATGACTTGTTGGAGTTGAAGGTCGGTGCTAATTTATTCAAAATCATGGTGCATGAAGTTGATCCTTCCTTCAAACCAAATTCTTGGGTCCCTAAAGATTGCGATATTTCATTAGAACTTGTTCCTTCAATTGGATCGTAACTGTTGGGCAGCTGTATTCAGAGGCGTCTTTTTTAGTTTTTTTTTTTGGTTGCAAGTGTTGGTTTTCTATTTTGTTATGTTCTTTTGCAACTTGAGGTGTATTTTAGAAATCGGGTTACCGTCTTTGGGGCTTTTTGTTTGACGATGGGAGATTTTTAGGTGATATGGTTTTTTGTAATGGTGTATATTCCCGAATGAGGGTATTCGGTGTTTTCACATGTACTTGGTATTCTATTTAATAAATTATGAGGCACTCTTTTCTTCCTTCCAATGTTCTTCAACATACTTCTTAGTATGTGGAAGAATACGAAGGGAGTTTTTAATGAGACCTCCAACTTCTATAAAAAAAAATATAAAAAAGGCATGTAGTCTTATTTCATTTCGAAAATCTAAATTCATCACAAGGTTCATTGAATTGTTCAAGGAACGAATTCTGACATCCGATACCATCTCATTATGCAATATTGTTAACCATCGTAGTTCATAATATGTCCATGAATCTTAGGTAGTTACTCCTTACATAACAATTCAACAATAGGATGAAATGAGATCATTTTAGTTCATTGAGATAAGTTGATTACACTGTCATTTTTACTTTTCTTTATTTAAGCTGCTGAGCCAGTAAGCCATTGAGAATGTCAATATATGATAACTTTGTTGATTCCAGAAAATGTACATTCTTTCTGTTATATTTATCTCACTCTTCTTTCTGAAATTCTCTCCTCCACAGATTTTCTTCTTATTTCTAGCTTTCTTTATCGTTGATAACATAGGTTTTCTTCAAATCTAACATGTCCGTTGAGATAATAATGCAACAAGACATTATATATCTCAAGAAAATGGCCCAATTATGAGTCGTGATATTGTTGGTAAAGGTTGGATATTGTCAAATAACCCTGATCTGGGTCATAACAGAAAAAAGAAGCATACTGATATAACCCTTCTCCATATTGTATAGGGCATACTTTGGTCAAGAAAAAGAATATGACAAAAGTTTTAAAGTTGCATCATCTTTTTCAAGCAGTTGGCATGACTTTCTTATTATTATGCATAAGGCACTTTTGCAACTTTTCTATACTTCCTATCTGATACGAAAAGAGCCTTCCACATTAATGAGCATGTTTAATCAAGATACTTCTGGACATAATACGTATTCTAAGAGCAATGAAACTACAATATGGTTTGACTCTTGGGAAGGAAACTAGGTTCCAAACCGGGGCGGGGGGATTTCCTTCATACCAACACCGAATTTACATAGTAATCCAAAGGCTACCGCAGTGAAAATCCACAAGTCAGTAAGACATCCATTGATGGAAGAAGAGCACTAATAAGAAAAACAAACTGAACGCATAGTGATTGCATTGTGTACTTGGAATTCACATGTCAACAAGTTATATGAAATTTGGGGTAATTAGTTGAAAACAAATGTTCCCAGCGGCACATTGTTAGCGGTGAGCAAAACTCAAGTTGACTAAAAAAAACCGAAATTTTCAACTCGACTCGACGTTAAAAAACTTGACTTGGCTTGACTCGACTCATAATTTCTTAAACTCGACTTGACCCAAAAAAATTTCAAATTCGAGTCGAGTTATAAAATAGAACTCGAACAACTCAGTTTTTAGTAATTAGCGGATTGGTTTTCAAGTTCGAATCAAGTCCCTCGATTCTGCATGTAATATGTATAAAGCATATGAAAAAATATGAAGAAATATACATGTATATCATATAAGATTATAGAAAATCGTTTATATTGAAATCAAATAGTACCTTATCATTGTAAATATTTACAATTAAATTTAAATAAAAACTCAAACAACTCGACTCAAAAAAAATTCAAATAAGGAGTCATAAAATAGTACTGGTCAATTCGATCAACTCAAAATATTTTGACTCAACTCGACTCAATCGAATACCCACACATATTTCCAATAATGTAGGTTAAATTCAATTTTATTCTTTTAAAAAAATGTTCAGAAAAGCCCAATGGAACTGTTGGTGAGACTAAGACTTTGGTTCTTACTAAGGTGCTAATCATTAGCACCAACTGAACCAATCCGTTTTGGGAGGTGAAACTCGATTATGTATAAATGCTTAAAATTTAACAAAAGAAATAACAGGCTCTTCAAATGTCGTTGAATTTAGCAAAAACCATTCTTAATATATTAACATATAATCAAAGGAAATCCACTAACAATAATACCCCATCAATCAATAGTCATGCAAATGAACCAAGAAATTTAATAGAAGAAAACAAAAGGAGCTGCGATTACCTCAACGCAGACGTCAATAACAGCATCAAGTTCATCACCAAATTTGTCTCTGTCTTTGTATAATTTCTTGAAAAGCTCACTTTTAAACTTCCGGGTCTCCTGTGATACCAAATAATCAAAAGAAAATGAATCGTCGGAGCTTCGCATTCATTAAAAATGAGTTAATTCCAAACATATAAGAGAGTGTATAAACTTACGGCTTCCGCAAACTCAGGGACAGGGTCAGGGTAAACGTATCTCTGGGGATGCGAGGAACGGAGAGGGATAAGGGATGCTTTTACGGAGAGGGGTTCCGAAGAGAGGATTGAGAAAGAAAGAGCAAAGGAAGGGTGAAGGGGCGGATGAGGCGGGTGTAGGTTAAGGCCGGCGTTGCGCAGGGTAAGAATGGTGGCGGTTGGGGTTTTGGCGGAAGTAAAGGGTGGCTGATTACAGACCAACGAACACGAAGATGGCGCCATTTCCGGTTATGGATTGCAATCGAGGGAGTTTGGACTTCTAATTTGACTTGGATTTTATTGGCCCGGCTAATTGCTAATTTGATTTCAAGATTTTCTAGGTGTTCACATCTAGGTCAAATGGTATTTTTTTAATTCTAAAAAAATAATTTGAATACTTTTAAATTTAAACTCTTTTAGCTCATAAATTTTTATCCTTTATCAAACTAAACCAGCTGACAAAAAATTAAAGAAAAATAACTTATATCAGTGTAAATAAATTAATAACATCTTTTTTATAAATAATATTGACTAGATTATTATAATATTTTAAAAATAATAAGTTTTATAATGAATATTTTTATTTTTATAATAAATAATACTATAAAAAAAACTTACTATTATTTTCAAAATATTAAGATAATTAAATTAGTATTATAAAAAAAACTATTAGCATGTCCAATACGAGTATATAAAATATTAAGTTAAATGAAAACATAATATGACATTAAAATACTACGAAACGACACGACTACAAAAGGGTGAAGCCAACAACTTCAAATCACATTCAGGCACCTCCAATGAACAGAAGAAAAAAACATGTTTAACATGGAAAAAAAAAGGTCCACTAAAATAAGAGGGGAAAAAATATATGCTACCATGATCCACAAAAACAGCCCTTCCTTCGCCAATTATAATACAAACACAACGGGATGCTTGTAATTACTATGTTTGGGACCAAAAATGTGCCATTAGTGAAGCTAAATAGTATATCTGTGCGTCAAAATTTTCCATATGTACCTCTTGTTGCTGGTTAGAGCTAAAGAACTTAAACAAAAAACTTGAAATTCTCTATCAAAGGAAGAATAAACCAAAAATCTGATTGTCGAAATAACTATTTCTCTCAATTGAGAGACGACTCCTAGAAGAAAATATCGACTTCCTTTTCACTCATCTCAAAAACATGATCTCTTGCGTCGCTCAGTGCGCTCTGCGTGATATGAAGAAAAACCAATGAATTTAGACAGGTCAGAAATGAAGGAATCAGAACATGAAAATATCATTAGCTGAAAGAAATGGTGAAAACAGCCACAAATTTGTTGGACTAGAATTGAAGATTTTAGGTTAGGAATAACGATTACCTGCCCAAACTTTGTAAGAAAATTGCTCGCAAGGTTGAGTGATGTTACTGTGACATCTTCATTGGCCTTGAGTGCTTGAGCAATAGCAAAAGCACCATCATCCTACATTAGAGCATCAACTCAAATGATGCAGCATGCGAAAAGTCATGAAATGAAGGGGGAAAAAACTAACAAGGAAAAGGAAATCACCCTAATCTCGTTGAATCCCAAGTCAAGTGAAGTTAAAGCTTCGTTAACCACTTTCAAGCTGCGAGCCAGGCAGCCTGCACCCTACACAATATCATGTACAATAGAGAAAATTAAGATTCGATATTCATTGTAGTCTGATGAAAAACAAGGAGTTTATCTGCAGGGACAAACTTCATCTCTAAGTCCATTTGCTCGCAAGTCCAGAATTGATATGGTATTATTATATCTCAACATATCTGCAATGAACTCTGCACCCTTTGGTCCTATCTACAAGAGAATAAGAGACGCCCTTTCGCATTATTATACATAAAAAGATCAATAAATCGGTTTTTATAGAGGTTTATGGATGCTAGTTTACCTGGCACCAACCAAGCTTAAGTGTTTTCACATTTCCGTGGAATTTAAGAACTTCAGACAAGGCCTTAGCTCCATCAGCTCCAATGGGATTATAACCAAGTTCCAACTGAAGAGGGGAATGAAAAAAGAGAGGGGAGTCAATCATGTATCCCAACTGGAGCATAGAAAGGGAGGCATAAAGGGCAGCTGAAATTTATTATCATGATGAAAGGACTCACATTAGTAATGACAGCATTATCTTTTAAGGCTTCAGATATCGCACCAACCCCCTTGGCTCGAATATTATTTCCACCCTAGGACATTAGAAACAAATTGTTTCCTTCATATAGTTGTATAGGAATAATCCAGTAATTAATTAAATACCCAAAATAATTTACTCGAGAATCTAAAGAAGTATTCTCCTCACCAAGTCTATGGTTGTTATTGTACGGTTTTCTTTCAAAGCTTCAGCAATTTTTTCTGCACCCTGATAATTTTCCAAACTTTGTATCAATGAATTTCAACTTCAAGTTTCTACACAAGTGTTGGCATTCAAATTCATATTGATCATAAGTCTCAACAGGGTCTAACATAGAACATATCCAGTAATATATATAGTTCTACATTGGTTGCCCATGCTTAAATCTTATAAATGAAAAAACTACAAGAGAAAAACTTGGCATATTGACTGTGTTTAATTTATTCAATACCTCATCACCAATGTCATTCATGTAAAGGTTCACCCATAGCAAGTTCTTGCTCCTTTTGATGTATTCCGCGACATGAAAAGCACCTTTTGCAGTAATTGAGTTGTTCCCAAAGTCCAGTAGGGTAATTTTTCCTAGAAAGAATATGTTTGTTACACAAACAGCTGCAACCGGCCAGGAAGGATAAAAGCCAATGACTACAACAAAAAGAGAACATTCAATATAACAAAATATAAACCTTTATGTGAAGATAAGCCAGATATCAAAGAGCGAACTCCTTCATTGCCAATTGAATTTCCATGTAAATGAAGTTCCTGAAAAAACCTGAAGGTAATACAATCGCTGTATAATAGATCCATGAACAAATAGAATATACCCGTTTCACTCATTTTCTTTGTCCTCTTTCCTTCTATGTATGTCCCAAAATTATGGCCACTTTCCTTTAGTTGAACACTTAAGCTTTGCTTGGTATAGTGGAAATTAAAAAGGAATGATGAAAATTTTGAGAAAAAAATAGAAAGAAAATGTTTTCCCCTTTCCATACAGTGTTAGGTAGCACAAACGAAAAATGGAGAGAAAAACTAATTATTTCCATGCATTGCTTTGTAGAGTTAAAAAATGGGGAGGGGAGGAATTAAAATTTCAAAAAATGCATAATCAATTTGCATCTTGTATCTGTCTCACATTTTCTTTCATCTTGTCATCACATTTTCTTACTAAGCGCACTTGAAAATTTATTTTCTTTCCAATTTTCCACACTCCTCGTTACCTCCATCCACTTTTCCATTCACCTAAGCATACAAGCATCACCTCTCTAATCAAAACTGCATTTCATCAAATATATGTAAAGGAGTCTAATGCTCCAAACCATTACTTAAGTACTAGAAGTAATGTTAAAACGCAAGTACAAATAACACTAAGGATGTGAAAACCACTGGACTTTCATCATGTAGGTCAGAACAAACAAAAATTGAAGTAAATAAGAAATGTACCCGTAACGACTTGTTCCCGTCTAGCCCTTTGGCCAATGCGTTAGCCCCCAGAGCACCTCCATAATTACCACTTGAACAGTAACATTATGTCAGAAAGATTTTCAGATGCTGATTAAAAATGAAAAATAGCCCAGATGTACAAGAAGAAAACTTAAGCAGGTTTTTTATTTATCAAAAACAGTTGAATGGAAGGCACACTTGCCATCCAGCCTCCCAATACATAACCTGTTGTATAAGAAACTCGAGAAATTTGTAGAATACAGAATCCGGAAAACTTTAACTTACTTTAGGTGTAAATGCCGGATAGAGTTATTCTCAACAAGAGCTCCTGCTAAACTTGTAAATCCCTATCCCCATTCATTTAGGAACATACAGAAAATAAATAAATAAGTTTGCCACTTTGCTTAACTGAATTTGAAGCAATATTATATGGAAAATGGTAAGGCAGTTTCTTACAGAATAGTCAATCATATTGTTATTAAGTTCAAGAACACGTAAGGTTGAATTTTTCTTCAACAACTCTGCAATTGCCTTTGCACCCTGCATGGAATAGAGATTCAGCATTAAAGTACATCTCAACTGCCTTCAGTTGTTCACAAAGCAATTCCAGGGAAATCAGAGTGGATATTAACAGAATGCTAACCTCATCCCCTAAGTCAACACTGTTTAGCTGGAGCTTTTGAATGCTACCATTGTTTACCAAAATATCACATAGGCACTGCAGGAAAACATAGATTACTTGAAATATACACCTGAGCATTAACAAAATTCTCAGAGAAAATGTAAATCCACAGAAAATTGGCACAAACATTTAACATATATTTCACTGTAGTAATCCCATTTGAAATATTCGGAGCCTTTTGTTAGGGAAAGCCGAAAGCATATAGTAGAAAGTACAGTATTGCTTCTATCTATGTTTAACATGCTCCCAACTACATAAATACATCATAGTACCCAATGGGATTCAAACATTAATGCAATTTATGGAGCAGTGTCTACCTTTGTACGTGATTCCATCCCATTGTAGTTCATTATGACATTATCAAATGAAAAACAAATACAAGCCACATAAATGAATTTATCAATATAATGTTATAGGAATGTGAACAAGAAAGCTCCTTACAAGAATGAAAATGCAGTAATCATAAAATACTGTTGAGAAATATGAAAGAAACGAGAATCTAGGAATGTGAAAGAGAAAGCACTGTATAAGAATGAAAATGCAGTAATCATAAAATACTGTTGAGAAATATGAAAGAAACAAGCACAGAGAATCTAGGAATGCGAATGAGAAAGCACTGTATAAGAATGAAAATGCAGTAAAAATAAAATACTGTTGAGAAATACAAAAGGAACAGGAATGAGGAATCTACATAGAGACAATATATCCCTATAAATATTAGGTACCTAAATATAGGTAACATATCCCCCAATGTTGCAGGACAGGACCATTTACCATTTTAAGTTGTCAGTTATATCAAGGAAAATTTAGGCTGACCTTTACTCCTTCATCTCCAATGGGGTTTCCTGAAAAATTAAGTGTTTTCAATACTGTATTTGCTTGAAGAACACCGTCAAAGGCTTTTATTCCTGTGGCTGTTATGCCATTAGCAGCAAAACTTACTTCCTCGACAATCTGAAAAGGAGAGGTGTTCATTCAGAGAATGCATAAGCAGGAGCATCAATGCTTCAAAGTTTCAATAATGATATAGAATAGTTTGTACACAATACAGTGAAAATGAGGATCTAAAAGAAAATAAGGTACAAAACCTCGATCATAATCATAGACAACAATAAAATCATTAAACAACACAGTCAAATAAAGGCTAGGGGAGTATAACCTGATTGTAACCTAAGCTCTCGGCAAGAAAAAATAGTCCATCATCTCCAAAGTTGCGTCCTAATAAAAATGTATCATAAGGCGTATCATATTTCATTCACGTGAAATGAATTTGCATGCCGTAAAAAAATATATTGCACCTTAGATCCAACTGGATAACTTGCTAGCAATGGTAAGGAATGAAAGCAATGACACCATAGAGAAAATTTTCTAAAAGACTACTTTTACTGTCCTTTAATTGCACCTCAGATCATGGCTACATTATTAAACACAACACGAGATTAAAAAATATGTGTTTTACTTTATCTATGGAAATAGTCTACAATCAGAAATGTTAAGCAGTATGCGTCTCCCTTTACTACATTTATTCAAAGAATTCAGTCAGCATACCAGACATGTCAACACTGTCAAATGTCCTGAGTTCCTTGGCAAATTCATTGAGCATCTGCGTTGACTGTCTCTCAATCTTAGCAGCAATGCCAGACAATAGATTTGTTCCTGGAGCAAAAGACCACTTCACTCCTTGTGAAGGAGATTTAGCTTCAACAGATGAAGACCTTGATGGATTCGGCGCAAGGAGTTTTTCCACCAATTTCCATAAAACTGTCAGCTGAAGATATCAATTAGGTACACATAGGATAAACATAACAGTGAATATGAGCTGCACTACATGAACGTTCCTAACAAGTAATAGTGCAATCTTAGTAAAAATAAAAGGGACATTCCAAAAATGCCATTCATATGCGCATTGAAAAACAATGGTAAGGTATAAGAATTGACCCACGTTTAGCTTAAAGACTAAAGAAATGCTGATATGGGAGTAAAAATCAAATGCAACTAACAAATGTAACAGTTATAACTATGGCGACATCTGCATCATAATTATAGAAAATTTTGTGAATTTATAAACAATAATGCAATCAATTAACTTCCTTCCAAATTCACCATCCGCTAAAAAAGAACAGAAACGAAAATCCATACCGAAAGTAGCAGCGACAAAACGCCAGCGGGCACCACATACGTTGCAATCTGATTCACGGGAGAACTACCAAGAGGCTGCTGAGACTGCGACTGTCTGTAGACGCGCCGCCTAGCGCCTCCCTCTGCACCGTACGCTGCCGTAATCACCAATCTCTTCGACCTCGAACCATGTCCCGTAGTAATAAACCAAGCCGTATCAGGACCAGGCCAGGTGCCGTGGTCCGAAGCCAACGCATCAAATCCAAGCCTCTGCTTCTTCGGAATAACCTTATAATAACAAAATGAATTAACAAAAAAGAGTGGGCTAACCATCTAACCAGCTTTTGAAAAGGAGAGAGCGCGTGAGAATTACCTTGGGGTGAGAGTAGAGCGACAGAGTGGAGGAGAAGGCCATGAAAGCGGGGGTTAAATGCGCATAAGGAGAGGGCGGTTGCTATGGTGCGCCGACTGCTTGGGCTTTAAAGATTAGAGAAAGGTAAGGATAGGAACGGCGAACGGAGCTACAGAATGTTGTCAAATAAAAAGCATAGTTTGTTTCGTATTGGGTTTATGGCTTGGATATAAGCAAATTTTAATTTTAATTAATGTTTAGTAGTAATATAATTGGTGTTTTTATTTAATTAATAAATAAAACATCGATACTTAATATAATTTTTATATTGAGATAGGATCCAATTAGGTAAGGTATAAATTTTTTAGTTTTATACAAATTAAAAATTATTAGATAATTTTTAATCAATTGATATTGAACAATTCATAATATTCCTAGTATTCGAAATTGAAACCTAATAAATAATAATAATATTTTTACTACCGAAATCGCTCTATTCGTGTAATAATAATAATTGATTGGATATGCTAAATTGACACCTCCTTTTCATTGTTGGTTGTAGGATGTTATGACGGTGTGATTCATCTGTGCGGCGCTTAAAAACAGTTAAAAAATGATGTGATCGGTTAAAATTTAGACCGGTTATGTTATATCATTTAACTGAAAATATTATCAAGCACAATAACATATTAGGTAGAGCTTATATAATGTAATAGGCAGCGCTTATATAATGTAATAGGTAGCGCTTATATAATAAAATAGGTATTTAACCTGAAATATTATCAAGTACAATAACATATTAAGTAGCGCTTATATAATGTAATAGGTAGCGCTTATATAATAAAATAGGCATTTAACGAAAATATTATCAAGTATAATAACATATTAGGTAACACTTGTATAATGTAATAGGTAGCGCTTATATTGACATATTTTCTCATAAAACAACAAATTTCAATCGGTTACATTGTAAATTGACATATTACATTATAATTATTGGTTTCGATGTTTTTGGGATCGATATAATTTTAAATGTATCGACACTTTATGCGTGAACCTGTTTGAGCTTTCTTTTGGAAAAAAGTATCGACACAAATTTAAAAAGTGTCGATACTTTATGTTGACATATTCTCTCATTAACCAAGTATATTTCTACCGGTTACATTGTAAATGTATCGATACTTTATGCGTGCACTTGGTTTGAATACAAGCACGCAGTCTACTTCAACTGATTTTTTTGAAGACGAAATGGAATGGTTATTCAGTCCAGCACATGATGTTAGAGACATTTGGTTATAATTATATTTTTCGATATTGTTTGGATCGACAATTGTTATAAATGTATTGAAATTTTGTTGTGCACTTGGTTTTTAAAATACAATCTAGACAAGATGTATCGACACTATTTTTATTTATGTCGATACTTTTTGTACACCTATTTTCTAAAAAACTGATATATTTATACCGGTTACATTAATAATTTACCTATTACATTATAATTATGTTTTTCGATGTTTTCGGGATCGATACTTTGTTGTGCACTTGGTTTTTAAAATACAATCTGGACAAGATGTATCGACACTTTTTTTATTTGTGTCGATACTTTTTATACACTTATTTTCTCAAAAATCGGTATATTTAGACCGGTTACATTAATAATTTACCTATTACATTATAATTATGTTTTTCGATGTTTTCGAAATCGACACTTGTTTTAAACGTATCAACACTTTGTTGTGCACTTGGTTTTTAAGATACAATATGGACAAAATGTATCGACACTTATTTTATTTGTGTCAATATTTGTTTTACACATGTTTTTTTAAAAATCGGTATATTTAGACCAATTACATTAATAATTTACATATTAAATTATAATTATGTTTTTCAATGTTTTCGGGATCGACACTTGTTTTAAACGTATCGACACTTTGTTGTGCACTTGATTTTTAAAATACAATCTGGACAAGATGTATCGACACTTTTTTTTATTTGTGTCGATACTTTTTGTATACCTATTTTCTCAAAAACCGGTATATTTAGACCAATTACATTAATAATTTGCCTATTACATTATAATTATGTTTTTCGATGTTTTCAGAATCGACACTTGTTTTAAACGTATCGAAACTTTGTTGTGCACTTAGTTTTTAAAATACAATCTAGACAAGATGTATCGATACCTTTTTTATTTGCGTCGATACTTTTTGTACACCTATTTTCTCAAAAACCGGTATATTTATACCGGTTACATTAATAATTTACCTATTACATTATAATTATGTTTTTCGATATTTTCGGAATCGACACTTGTTTTAAACGTATCAAAACTTTGTTGTGCACTTGGTTTTTAAAATACAATCTGGACAAGATGTATCGACACTTTTTTTATTTGTGTCGATACTTTTTGTATACCTGTTTTCTCAAAAACTAGTATATTTATACCGGTTACATTAATAATTTACTAATTACATTATAATTATGTTTTTCGATATTTTCGGGATCGACACTTTGTTGTGCACTTGGTTTTTAAAATACAATCTGGACAAGATGTATCGACACTTTTTTTATCTGTGTCGATACTTTTTGTACACTTGTTTTCTAAAAAATCGGTATATTTAGACCGGTTACATTAATAATTTACCTATTACATTATAATTATGTTTTTCGATGTTTTCGAAATCGACACTTGTTTTAAATGTATCGACACTTTGTTTTGCACTTGATTTTTAAGATACAATCTGGACAAAATATATCGACACTTGTTTTATTTGTGTCGATACTTGTTTTACACTTGTTTTCTCAAAAATCGGTATATTTAGACCAATTACATTAATAATTTACCTATTACATTATAATTATGTTTTTTCGATGTTTTCGGGATCGACACTTGTTTTAAACGTATCGACACTTTGTAGTGTACTTAGTTTTTAAAATACAATCTGTACAAGATGTATCGACACTTTTTTTATTTGTCTCGATACTTTTGTACACATGTTTTCTCAAAAACTAGTATATTTAGACCAGTTACATTAATAATTTACATATTACATTATAATTATGTTTTTCGATGTTTTCGGGATCGACACTTGTTTTAAACGTATCGACACTTTGTTGTGCACTTGGTTTTTAAAATACAATCTGGACAAGATGTATCGACTCTTTTTTTATTTGTGTCTATACTTTTTGTACACATGTTTTCTCAAAAACCGATATATTTAGACCGGTTATATTAATAATTTGCCTATTACATTATAATTATGTTTTTCGATGTTTTCGAGATCGACACTTGTTTTAAACGTATCGACACTTTGTTGTGCACTTAGTTTTTAAAATGCAATCTAGACAAGATGTATCGATATTTTTTTATTTGTGTCGATACTTTTTTTACACATGTTTGAAAAAGGTTACATTAATAATTTACCTATTACATTATAATTATGTTTTTCGATGTTTTCGGGATCGACACTTGTTTTAAACGTATCAACACTTTGTTGTGCACTTGGTTTTTAAAATACAATCTGGACAAAATGTATCGACACTTGTTTTATTTGTGTCGATACTTGTTTTACATCTGTTTTCTCAAAAACTGGTATATTTAGACCGGTTACATTAATAATTTACCTATTTCATTATAATTATATTTTTTGATGTTTTCGGGATCGACACTTGTTTTAAATGTATCGACACTTTGTTGTGCACTTGGTTTTTAAAAAACAATCTGGACAAGATGTATCGACACATTTTTTATTTCTGTCGATACTTTTTGTACACATGTTTTATCAAAATTCGGTATATTTAGACCAGTTACATTAATAATTTACATATTACATTATAATTATGTTTTTCGATGTTTCGGGATCGACACTTGTTTTAAACGTATCGACACTTTGTTGTGCACTTGGTTTTTAAAATACAATCTGGACAAGATATATCGACACTTTTTTATTTGTATCGATACTTTTTGTACACCTGTTTTCTCAAAAACCAGTATATTTGTAAAATGTTACATTAATAATTTACATATTACATTATAATTATGTTTTTCGATGTTTTCGGGATCGACACTTGTTTTAAACGTATCGACACTTTGTTATCCACTTGGTTTTTAAAATACAATCAGGACAAAATGTATCGACACTTGTTTTATTTGTGTCGATACTTGTTTTACACATGTTTTCTCGAAAACAGGTATATTTAGACCGATTACATTAATAATTTACCTATTACATTATAATTATATTTTCGATGTTTTCGGGATCGACACTTGTTTTAAACGTATCGACACTTTGTTGTGCACTTGTTTTTTAAAATACAATCTGGACAAGATGTATCGATACTTTTTTTATTTGTGTCGATATTTTTTGTACACCTGTTTTCTCAAAAATTGGTATATTTAGACCAGTTACATTAATAATTTACTTATTACATTATAATTATGTTTTTCGATGTTTTCGAGATCGACACTTGTTTTAAATGTATCGTCACTTTGTTGTGCACTTGGTTTTTAAAATACAATCTGGACAAGATGTATTGACACTTTTTCTATTTGTGTCGATACTTTTTGTACACCTATTTTCTCAAAAACTGGTATATTTTAACCTGTTACATTAATAATTTACCTATTACATTATAATTACGTTTTTCGATGTTTTCGGGATCAACACTTGTTTTAAATGTATCGACACTTTGTTGTGCACTTGGTTTTTAAAATACAATCTGGACAATATGTATCGACACTTTTTTATTTGTGTCGATATTTTTTGTACACCTGTTTTCTAAAAAACCGGCATATTTGAAAAAGGTAAGTTGTTACCTTAGAAATACATTATGGACAAATTCATTATGCACATTATCACTAGTGTTGATATTTGAAAGTGGTAAGTTGTTACCTTAGAAATGGAATTTGATATTTTCTCTCGATGCATCCATTGAGTAAGTTGTTTTTTGGATGGATGAAATTTCGGTTTAGGACTAAAATTTACATTTAAATTCAAACTCTAATTATAAATGAAATGAAAATGAAATGCCATGTTAAATTGAACATGAAAATTGCATAATTGATTCATATTGTGTTATATGATTTAGTTTTTTTGAATCGAATGAAAATATAAACACAATGTAATCAAACCAAAACATACATGCACAATAAATTT